TGTACCCCACTTAGATCTCAGGGCTTCTATATATATATATATATATATATATATATATATATATATAAACAACATGGCCATGTATTACTTACTCTTTGCTTTCTTATGTCTGCAGCAATGTAGTCACAAAGATACAACAGAATTGTTAGTGGACTATGGTCCTTGTACTTGTTCAGAGCCATTTTAATGACTTTATTTGTAAATTCATCCATTCATCAAACTTTGAAAATAATCTGCTATGCTAACTAAACAACTCTGACAATCATCTAGAAAAGGTTCAAGATCATATGCAGTGCTGTGTACTAGACCTGAGCGACGCTCTAACTTTTTTTGTCAGGGCACTGACAAAGAAAGTTATCTCTTCTAAAAAATTGAAAAAAATAATCATTTAAAATAGCACTGTTGACAACATATACAAACAAAACATAAAACATCAAAAATTGATACAGTTCTGTTTTTGACATAACTAGAGTTTTGTTTGTTTTTTGAATGTGCTAAAACTGGTTACGGACTTTAAATCAACAGGAAGTGAGTTCCAAACTGCACGGACAGAGCACTTTGAGCTAAAGTGGTTCTTCAAAAGGGGACCTCACAATTTCCATCCAAAGCCGCTCTAGTAGATCTGCTATTGCCCTGCAGTCTCTGTATGCAATTGCTTAATGGTGTAGGTGGATATCCATTTAAACACTCAAAAATCAATTTTAAAAGATTATCATTTATAAAATTAGGAAAGTCCAAAATGCCAAAGTTAGCCAAAATGTGACAATGATGGAATCTGATTGGCTTTTGATATAAAACCTTTAAAGCCTGATTGTAGAGATTTGCTAATGGTTTGAGTATAGTTTGACTAGTCTGAGACCAGATCAGCCACAAGAGAGATTTGCCCAATGAGCAAATCTGCCCAATACAGAATGCAAACTCAAGTTTACCGCTCGACCAAGATGCGTTCGTGGGCCTGCAGATAAATGGAAATGCGGCTGTCATCAGATCTTTGCTCTTTCTCAATTAATATAAAGCTGTTCATGCAGGAATGTGATACCATTCAGCTGAAACCTCTAACCTGGATTTATCCTTCTTCTTACAGTTTACAAACTACTTCTTTCTGTTCAGACCCACTCAGTCAGTACTTTACTGGTGTAGAACCTTCTCACTGCAATTACTACTGCAAGTTTTTGGGATCGCTACACGGTTCATATATTTCCTCGTTCTTCTTTTTTAATAGTACAGGCTTAGTCTGATTGGGTGGAGAAGGATTCGAACGGGGCTCTGACTATGCCATTGTAACACATTATTTTATGAAATCTCAGTCGGTTATTTAAAATCACACATTTACAATAAATGTCATGTTAGTCTAATGAACTTCCAGCTATGCAAAAATGTGCATTAAATCAAATTCATAAGTTATCATCGTGTTTATATCCCAGCCATATAAGCACCATAGATTTAGTGACTTCCTACTGTATCTAGATGTAATACCAGAAGGTCTAATTTAGAATTTTGCCAGTTAGTCAAGAATTATCTGTGCTATACTTGGCTTGTTGCATGGAGTCTTTGCCCTTGCAGCAATCTGTCTTCCTGATCAAGAATGTGGTGACAGTGGAAAGCCTGAGTTTGAGAGGTCATCTGCCATGAGTGACCAGGTTTGAGAAGACAAAACACAAACACAAAAAACCCACAAAAACTACTTCAAGAGGACTTTGTTTTAATAAATAATTTCAATGCTTTGTACAGACCCTGTTACTTGAGATAAGAAGGTGCAAATGCAGCACCATGCAATGGTGCTTCGTGTTTTTATATTGACACAGTTGGAACTTTACCAGTTGCTGTCTCAATGTCAAATGAAAAAGCTGAATGTTTTTCTGCCTCTAGTTCTCCTCAGCTTTACCACATTATAATTAATCAAAGCGCAGAAGCTGTCACATCTTTAATGAGCCGTGGGAGCTTAATACCGCTGACGCACACACTCACTGCCTCCCCTATGACTCTGTATTCCACCTTTAGTTTGTGTCTTGTACGTCAGACTCAGGCCCTTAGAAGCAAGTCTGCTCTCTGTCACTAAGTGACACACTGTAACTGTACACTAACCATGAAGACTGAGTCAGCCGGTCAACAAAAGTCCAGAAGTTAAAACTTTGGGAGAGAAGGGCGGGGGGAGGATAAGCCAGCACTGATGTCCTTTGGAAATTCTAGATATTTCAGTTTTTTTTATATTTTGAAATTCCTTATTTGGAGCAGAAAGCTTGTGGTACACTGTCACACTCCCTCCCCTGTGTACTACTCTGTTCTCCAGAGGACAGATGTGTTTCAAAGGGCTCAAGCATCTTTCTCTCACAGAACCACCATGTCTGGATTCTCTGTAATAACAGTGAACTGCTTCATGTCAGCGGCTTCTTGCTTTTCTTCCTTTCTTGACTACTCAGTTTACTTTCTTGATTTTTATAACAGACATTTTACTCAACTTTAGAAGCAGCTTTCAGTTGTTGTAAAGTATAATACCAAGATAATATTTGATTGCAGAAGTAAATTTGAACATGTTTTTTCCCTGTGTTGGTGTGTCAGTAATTTTTGCACAGGATTTTTCAAATGCAGATTAGATTATGAGTTTGCTTTCTTTTCAGAGCAGTGCAAGAAGATTTTCTATCAAAGTGGGTTTTTTTGTCGAAGAGATGGTGATGACATCTTACTGAAAACAGCTCAAAGTGGCTGTTGTTTCTCTGTTAGCATGCCAAAGAACACTTTTCACACCAAAACCCAAAATGTCAACAATAAATCCTTGAAAAGGGGGAAGTCCCATTTTCTGTTTATTGTTACCATTGTCAGAAAGTGATTTTGGGTCTGTGTCCATATGTGTATACACCACAGGTCCTGGTGAGTGAGGACTCGGACGGAGAGGGAGTGGTGGCTCACTTTCCAGCCCATGACAAACCCATATCCTGCATGCAATTCAACCCTAGTGGTAAGGCCCACTTCCACAGAAACACACACGCACAAAACACACACAAACGGCTGCTTTTCACGAGACGGCTTGCTTTAAAGACTTGCAGTGACACCAAAAAACAGACTGTACAACACTTTGGTTGTACAGTCCAAACTCTCTCTCTCTCTCGTGTCTTTGAGATCAGTTTCATTGCCAAAAAACGGACCAATTGCTAAGTTTGGTCAGCAAGTATAATACCAAGATAATATAATGTTGCTGACCAAACTTAACAATTGAACTATAGATCAATTAATTTAAATCACTTCTTCCCCAGAGTAGTTTCAGAGTGTATAACAGAGCTGCTATACACTTTGAAAGAAGCAACCCAATTTAACAGCATGCCAGTCCCTAGTATTTAGGAATCATTGTGGATGTTTGGGGTCATATTGTGTGTGTGAACTCTCAGCATGTACTCCTGCCCAGCGTGTGTGTGTAAGTTAATAAAGAAGCTGCTGAGAGACGACTTTCACCCCCTGACCCCAGGAATCCCTCACTTACTGAGACTCAAGACTAACTGAGCAGCTCTCTCTGAGAAGGAAAAGGATTAAAATATGGACAAAGACTGACCACAGATGGTTGTCTAGACTCTGTCCCTTATTCCTCTCATCAAAAATCAAAAACACATCCCAGGTCAGAAAAGTTAATTTTGAAGAACTTGATCAGGACATATTTTCTACCCATGAAAGAGCTGTGGATTGTACATCTTCCTAGTTGTGGAATCTCTATCACAGTACATGAATAGGACCATTGCTTTTTTAAGGATGTCTTTAGTTGAGCAGGGTCATGTTTCATTTACACATCCAAGGTTTTTACAAACAAACCATAATGCTAAAGGATGCAAACTTAGATGCATTTCTGTAGATATTTAGAAGTTCTGGAATGAATGTATCTGAAATATAAAGGAGCCATATTCCACTGTGGATTTGTATCTTCTTTGTTCATTGCAACATTGTCACACCTTTCAGCCAGATGTCGTGTCTTTGAGATTAGTTTCATTGCCAATAAACCGGACCAAAAACCCATATAAAGGAGTTTGGACTTAATGGAACCAACTCCAGATGAACCCATGGATGACTGATGATCTGGTGGTGAATTTCCATAAATTCTAGAATATCTGCAATGTTCATAACACTCCAGGATGGACTGGGATCCAGATCTAACAGACTGATTTGTTGGACTGCCAGTAGGAGAACTGGAACCTGCTCATATTGAACGTGTGCTTCCTTCCATGCGCCACTGACATGGAAGAAAGTTCAAGCTCATCATGACGAAAATAATAGTGTTAGACTAAAGAGGAAATGATGAAATGACTCAAACTAAGTCTGGAAAGCTCAAGTGTTTTGGCTGGGAAGAGTTATAAAACCTTAGTGGCTTGTGTGTGTTAGAGGCTCTGTGAAGGGTGAACCAGAGGCTGCCAGCTTTTGGTGTGGTGCCTAGCACTCTGCGGCGTTGCATTGGATTTGTGTATCTATTCCTAGCGGTGTAATTAGAGGGACGCACATGAAGTGCAGTGGCAAAGTGCTCCTTTAACAGCTGCACTGAGTGTGCTTGTTTTCTTTTGCGTCTCGTTCTTTCTAATCATCCTCAATGATCCTTGACTTGATTATTAGGTGCATTGCCAAGTTCAAAATGTCCTCGTGTTTTCATTCCAGAGATGTTGAGGATTTGATATGACTGACTGGCACTAGATGGAGTGATTGATTCAGCCTTCATGCTCCACTCTGAGCTATTAAATGTCTTTCTGCAACAATCTCATTCAGACTGATAAGGTTTTAGTGCTTTGCTTGGTTATCCAGTTTGTAACACTACAAAGTGAAGATATCCGTATCAACTGATAGACCAGCCTTTCAAACATAATAAAAATCACATTAACATCTTCCAAAATCTTTCTTAATGAATTAAAGTAACATTTGTTCTGCAAGTTGTGCCTCCATGTGTCACAGAATACACAAACTCTATTTTTGTTTCAGAAATGCTTGTTTTACTTCTTTCTCAACTCACCCTATTTACTATAATAAGTCTAAAATTATTGTAAAAAATTATTTAAGCATTCAGTAATTTAATTAATAAAAAATTAGTATGTAATATTTAAGTGATCAAAAATATTTAACACCATAGAAGTCACATATGTGACCAAATTATTCTTTTGCTTGCAGTCCATTGTGCTTGCCATTAAATGATATAACAATATTCGTGGTTGTCCGAGATATTTTGGGGGACGAATTTTAAAATTAACAGAAAAATTGTGACAAAAATGCCAATAGCCTCTACATCTGGTGCAGCTTCTGTCACACAGTTTCTTTTCTTGTTTTTTCTATTGATGGATGATGCACATGTGTTGTTTCCATCTCTGACTTTCAGTGTGTGTTTGTATTGGGATTAATAATAAAAATACTATTCCACTTTTACCATGTCAACATGTGTTATCCTACTTTTGCTGCAATTTCATTGCTTTGTTCTATTTAATTTTCTTTTTCATACTGAAGGAAAAGAAAATACCTGGATATTTGGTGCACTATAAATGTTCAGTGAGCTCATCCTAATGGCTTCAGGGCCATATATTAGGCTCTCATTATTGAGTTGATGGTGTAATGATTACATTCTTCTTGCTTTTATTCCTTTGTGAGAACACATACATGTATGGTATAGACCATAGGTGGGCAATCCTGGTCCTCAAGGCCTGGTGTCCTGCAACTCTTAGATGTCTCCCTGGTCCAACACAGCTGAATCCAACAGCTGAATCACCTCCTAAGTGCAGTCAGATTCTCCAGAGTCCTGCTAATGACCTCATTATTTGACTTGGGTGTGTTGAAGTAGAGACACATCTAAAAGTTGAGGAGACCGGCCCTCGAGGCCTGGAGTTGCCCTCTCCTGGTATAGTCAGACAGTATCTCAGTGTTGTGACTCTGATGCTGATGAATCTTTCTAAACATTTGTAAAAACAACCTGTTTAACCTGGTGATCAAATAGTGCATGCTACAGTTTTATATGCGGTCCTGGAACCGGCCATTAAAACCTAAAGCAAATGTGCAATACTGTGATGTGAAACGAGGACGGCGTATTGGGATTCCAGCATAACCCTTCCACATCTGTTGATGTAATATGAGTTGGGACCTCTGATTATTCTACAGCTTTTTCAAGAGTGTCCCATTTTGCAGGGTAATATTTTAAAACTACCCCAAACTTTGTATTAGGGCAGAGAAGGAGTCATTCAAAATCTGAGCAAATTAGATCAGACTTTGAAAAGGTTTCTCTCACTTTGTTGGATGTTGTGAAGGTTTTTTTTCTTTGCTGCGGAAATAAACTTACAATAATTGAGCTGTCCTCTGAAATGTTCTCTGATTCTTTTGGCCACAGAAACAACCTTGAAACTCCCAAGATACTTACTACTCGTTTATAGTAACAAATCTGTTCTACTTGTTTTAATGATGAAGAAATGAAGGAGAAATTTTAAGTCCTAAAATAACTTGGAAACAAGTACCTTGAAATAAAAGCCAGTAAAAAAAAAACTGTTAAAATTATACATTTCCCTCTGTGATTGAAGTATATTCATTCACTCATTCATTCAATCATGAATCCAGTAGGTAACTGTAAATTTAACATGCTTTCCTGAGTAGTAAAAATAACAAAAATGTCAGATCTCAGATATAACTGTACATTCATCCTAATGTGGAGAAAAGTCTCTTTCATTATCTTTTTCAGACTCATGAAACTGTATTTTTTAGCCATCTAGATGTTCTGAATATGGAAGTTTTGAATATCCCATCAAAGCCCTGGGTAATGGCAGATGAATCAGGGCTGAATTTCTCCCCACACGGAACTGTCCCATAAACCATATTCCTGGTTTAGTAACATGCCGGTCTAATGAATAGCCAGGCCTGTCGTGCCTGACCATTGAGGCAGCTGTGCCATGAAGGCAGCTCTCCGTGGTGTAATAACTCCTTCGCTGCATCTTACTGATGTGTGAAAAAAACCAGGCTGCCGCTGAAAAAACGCTCAACCCACATGCACATGTTGAACACGAGGGGAATTCCCATACACAAGCAGCCTGACTCAGCCACACACTTCTAGCCACACATTTAGCTTGGATTGAGTTGTGTCTTCACACCAAGATAGTAATTAGCACTCACAGCTGCCTCACATGTGATTTACAGTCAGTACTGTGGAGGAATACTGTTGACTTTTTCCAGCTCTGTCTTGGAAAGGAAACGTTGTGACCTTTGTAATGTTGCAGAGTTTTTTATAAAGACTGACAGTTTTTTTTTTTTTTTTTTAAGTTACTACTTTTGTTAGAAATGCTACCTTGTCATCTAGTCTTCAGTGGGATGACCTACTGGCTTTAATAGCAGAGAGAAAAAAGAAAATTAGATGTTCATTTTCCATAAAGTAAATTGCTATATGTATTCACTGGTAGACATGATGTGGTTTCTACACCAGACACCTCAGCAGTGTAGAGTTACTAAATACCCATACAGTTGTGTCCAACTGGGACAACATCAAGAGGAAAAGCAGCTTAAGTGAGGCTACAGTTTAAAATTTGTTCAAACCGAGAGTCAAACTCAGGCAATATTTTCCAAAAGAGGAAGAGATAACTTTGCCATTTTTTTTACTGTAGATGGATATTTAATATTTTTTATGCTATTGAATAATTAAGTTGGATATTTAATATCATTTATAATTTAAGGTTTTCTTTTGTTTCTGAATAATTCACGTTATGTAAAAAGTAAAACAGAAGAACAACTTTTAAACAACACATACAGTATTTAGTGAAGATTAAATTGACTCCCACAGTCTTCCCATTTAAAGTAACTGAAATAATACCTTGGCTTATGACATGATGACTAGAAGATGTTCACCTATCGTTTTGAAGGATGTTTTCGCCTTTTAGACCCTGGTATGCTTTGCTCTTGGCTGCTGAAATAAAAATTTAACACCATGGTATGATCTTCAGAAACAAAATACACTAGCTGTGTTTCCAT